CATTGCCACTTCATCTGACTGCTTGCAGACTGAGGGCGACGATGAAAGCCAAGTGCTGTCTGCTCTAAAAGCGCACAACATAGCTGCCGACCTCGACAGTTATGCAGCTACTGATGATAACCTGTGCGTGTGCAGGGAGGACACACTCGATGACTTGGTGGCAGAGGTGCTGCCAGCACAACACAGCAGTGAAAGTGAAGAACCGGAAGTGGAAAATGTGACAACTGCACAGGCTTTCCAGTACATTGCTAAAGTGAGAAAATTTCTGACAACAACAGAAAACTCTCAGAATCAACTGGCAGCACTTACTGGCATCAAGAGCTTTGTGCTAAATGCGCATGTGGCAAATAAGCAGTTGACCATCCATGATTTTTTTAAAAGGTCTAGTCAGCAGTAGATAGTCAATAAACTTGTTGACCATACATGCACCGCTCTCTGTTTTTGTGTAGTTAGGATCTAGAGATGCTTGTGTGAATATAGATGTAAGTGTGAATATAGATGTCTGATCATAATTTGTGCTGTCACCTTACCCAGAGTCGCATATATGAGAACTTCTGATAATTCAAACAGCCTGATAATTCAAACAAAATCCAGGGGTCCCTTCGAGTTTGAATTAATGAGAGTCGACTGTACTAACCAATTTTGAGAAAAAGCTATATACTCTTGGTCTTTTTGTTGACTTCCGCAAAGCATTCGACACCGTGCACCACAGTGTTCTTTTAGAAAAACTTAATAACTACGGTGTCCGTGGCGTTGCCAATAGGTTAATTCAAAATTACTTAACAGACCGCTATCAGTATGTCGCTATTAATCAAGAGACATCTCCCCGTGCGAGGGTCAACAAAGGTGTCCCACAAGGATCGATACTTAATCCTCTGTTGTTTATAGTTTATGTAAATAACTTGTGTCCGGATTCTCCTAAGTTAATCATGTATGCTGACGACACCAATATATTTTTTGCTGGTTCATCGATCTCTCAACTTGAAAAGTCTGTAAACACATATCTAAATAAGTTTTCTTCCTGGATTAAACTAAACAAGTTGCGGCTAAACGCGAGTAAAACTAAATATATATTGTTTGCACCCATTAATAAGCCACGGAATATAAGTCTAAGTGTCTCCTTTGAGGGTCAGACTTTAGAACAAGTCAAGGTACAGAAATTCTTGGGTGTGTGGTTCCAGGAAGACCTTTCCTGGAATGAACATATAAATAAATTGGCAGCAGATCTAAGTAGAAGCGTTGGATGTATGTACAAACTATGTCCGTTATTACCACTTTGGCTAAAGAAAGCGTTATATTATACATTGATATATTCCAGGTTAAGTTATTGTGTCTTATGTTGGGGAACAACGACGGCTCAAAACTATAAAACATTACTTACACTACAAAAGAAGGTACTAAGACTATTCGAGGGATACTACGGTATGCCACAAGGTCTTAGCGCACGTCCGTTATTCCCTAAATATCTCATATTACAAGCAAACCAAATATATTATTATAAGTTATTATTGTATATCCAAAATAATAAACTATACCCCATGTACGATTCTTCTCGATGTGCTGAGTACTATCTCCGTACACATAGTATAAGAACACCGAAAACTAGAACAACCTATGGTCAACAACATATTGATTATCAAATACCGAGTCTCCTCAACAAACTGGGTGACGTACTTGACCTAAATAAGAAAACTTCCAAAAATAAGTTCAAGGAATTTCTCCTTTATAATTGTATTGAATACACTTAATACAAAAATTTGGATTATTTATTACTTTCTGTGTCCCAATTGCTTAGAGTACACTATTTGTGTTCTTTTGTTGTTGTTGTTTTTTTTGCTTATTGTTTGTTCAAGGTGCTTAGGAATGTATGTGTCTCCAGATGCTTTCCTTACCTCACTTATTGTATATATTGCGATGTTTTTTTAGGTATTCATTACTATTTACTGTCCTGTTCTTTCTTTATATTTGTGATGGTTACATGTGTGATCAGAATTTGTAAATTATATCTGTATATAATGATGTTCTCTAATTGCGGCTAAGTTGTGTATGACATGTTATTTTTAGTTTTTATTTTATTTTATTTTGCCAGACTGTATTTCGGAGCAAAAGCCTCCGTCAGGCTATGTAGCCTTTTGCTTTTGCTTCGTTTTTTCTGTTGCACGTACACAAAAATAAATCTCAAAAAATCTCAAATATGCCCCTCTCGCGTCATTAAATTGCTAGAAAATTCCTGTGCCACCAGCCTCCTGCCCATAACTGTTATTTGGTAAGAAGGCATAGGCTGTCATGGTCTAAGCCACTTTTTTTTTTTTATGCAATAAACCTCTCTCTATATAAGAATTATTCAGTGGTTATTTGTAAACAAGTACTTAATTACATTAATGAAAGGCATTAATGAAAGCCTGTCGAAAACTTCGACAGGCTTTTTCTCACAAGTGTGTTTTGGAAAATGTGTATTGCTCGTTGAAAGTGTAGCACGAGAATGACTGGACAGATTTTGATGCAGTTTTTTTTTTTTTCTGGATTCCGAACATTTGTTGAGGAATCTCTGAATTCTTGTTTATGGCCCAGTTGTTTTTTTTAAAAGATGACTTGTACATGACACTGTTTCTGACAATGTGTGTAGGCAGCCATGATAATCTCTATAAAAAAAAGAGAAGCGATAAAAAAATTCTGAGATTTTCACACCCACTAGTCTTTTTTTGAGAAAAGATCAACACCACTTGCAGCTTCCTGGCATGTTGTGTTACAGCCCTAGGCTTTCCGCGAGCAGACCATATAAGTCAAACCACGTAGCATGATGTAACATGAGAACTACTCAAGCTATCATGATGAAACTGCATATTTACCTATTCAAGACAATTATGAGTATGCATGCCAAATTTCATTGCTCAAGATAAACAAACAAAAAAGTTTTTTTTCGTGCCACTTCCCTTTTAACGCCACCTCCCCCCTTGAAGGGCCCCCCGTAAGTGCCCCAAGGTCGAAATTCAGTTGTGGTGGGGAAATTGTGCACAAGTGTACGTCGAACACGGAGCCGTAGGAATTTTTCGAAACGGTGCTGTAATAGCAGAGTTAGAGCGTTTAATTATCGAAACCATGACGACCACACCTTTCGCTTTCTCCTGCGCTTTTCTCCACTGGTATCCTCTCTCATGCCCCTTTGCCCTCTCGCCGAGCGCCGCTCCCATCCCCCTCCCAATCTCACGTCATCGCTGACACTCTGCTTGAAACGTCTACTTCCGGTTGCCGCGACTCCAGCCATCGACTCTGTCAGTTGCATGCGTGTTGGCGAACCGTGGCTGTCGTAATCGTGCCGGTATGGACCCTGTGTTGTGCGCACACTCTTAAAGGATAACCAACAGGATGGACCCGTACGGGGGACACGCCGTGACGCATTCATACACGCGGGCAACATGACGAACAACAAGCAGCAAGGACAGCTGCTTCCAGGCTGACCAGAAAATGTAGGCTCTTGCTCGACCAGTCACAGTATATTTGGCATATTTGGCTCAGCGATCAGAGATGTGGCACCGCGAGTCATGCGGAAGCCCGAAAGGCCCGGAAGGAAGAAGGGATGGTTTCTTGCAATTTGTGGCACGCCGGCACCTCGTAGAGTAGCCACGTGTTGAATGAATGATTGTCTCGGCATTCTGCACACAATGCACCCATTTATTTGAAATCCTTGGAAAAATATCGGAAGTGGCTTACGGGCCCTTCAAGCAGCTCCGCCCCGAAAAACATTGCTGCGAGTTTTCAAACAGTTGACTCCCTTTCGGTAGAGGCCAACTGCCGTCTGCTGAACTTAGCGCACCCGCGAATGTTCAAGCGAGTGAGTATGGAAGTCTGCTTTGAAGTTCAATACAGTTTACATCTGCAGTTTTGCTAACATGCTGGATTGACGTCGTGATCCTGGGCAACACATAACAAACGAGTCAACTATCTGCGTCAGCCTGCTCAACTATTGTGTATCGCTTTGGGACGGCACCACTGGGTTTTCCATAGGATAGTGCGTAATGATTGCAAACATCGTGAGGTCTGCGCTCGTAAAGAAACATCAGCACATCATCCGATTTATGCGACAACAATGCTGTTGATGAGATGATGAGACGCAATGGTACTTTACACTGGGGATCCGCCACTGCGAAATCAAACACAGAAAGCCTGCAATGTAGCCAGCTATATTGCCAACATATGGTGATACCGAAGGACCGCCTCAGCCTGCTCTTTGAAACATTCTGCATGAAAGCTCACAAAAACGCAAGTTATTTCAAATCATACCTTACTGCTTATTTCCTAGTAAAACGAGTGAAACGTAATGCGATTTTGTGGTACCTTCTCGTTAAAAGTCTTCTTTGATGACCTTCCTAGTAAGCTTGAGCAGTTTACAGCACTACAGGCAGGCAATGTTTCAAACTGAACCTGTAATCCTCGATCTCATAGCTATACTTTATCAAATTACCTTTTTTTCTGTTGTTACACTGACAAAAACGTGATAATCTTAAAAAATTACATTTTAGTAACATTTCTAGGCAATACAGGCTACAATTCTGACTTGACCATCGCCTTACCCTCCCCCGTCTCAATAGATGCTGCAGATACAGCAGACATTTTTTTTCCCTCAATTATGAGGGCCTAAGTAATGAGCGTAGACTATTTATGCTTTAGGGCAGTTTGTAATGAAGCACTTCTCAAATCTACAAGTGGCCAGTTAATTACCACTTCATGATGATCAAAGTACAAACTGATGCCAGCGATGGAATTTAAAAAGACTGATTTGTACTGGTTCTGCCCACCTGAAATAAAAGTGTACACACAAGAAGATGACATGATTCTTCATTAATTTGGTTGTGCTATGAAGCTGGACAACTCAATTTTCAATAGCCGATAAAGAGTGTGAACAGGCATAATCCCCCACTCTGAATAACAGATGCCCACATTAACATAAAATTTTAAAATAACGGGCCAAGAGTAAGCTTAGTGAATGAGAGGAGACTCACTGTGGCTGTCGCTTTGGCACTACCATCAGTGACGTGTACCGTCAAGTTGTAGCTGGCACGTGTTTCTCGGTCAAGCGGTCTTGCCAACTTGATGAAGCCATGCTCACAGTCAATCATAAACTTGCCTTCTTCATTGCCACCTAAACCACAAACCAGCAGATCAATGTCAAAATATCACCCTTTAAATATTCACAAAACAATGGCAATATTTAAGGACTTGTTTTTCTTTGTTAGACATAACATCATTTAGAACTGAAAGCCCGAAAAGCCATTGTTAAAGGCAAAATGCAACGACATTTGTGTACAGCTCAAAAAGCCATTTTATAGGCAGTCTAGCTGAAAATATTTCTATGAGCCAAATTTCACCTTCCAAATGCAAGTGGTTATCCATGAAAAAAAGCTTGCCAACAATTTCTATACAAAAATTTCTATGCAATTTCTATACAGTTTTCTATACAGAAACTAGAAAAAACAATGCCATTACAGCTGACCAGAAGTGATGAGGACAGCAGCCCGACAGCTGACCGATGCAGGCAAATTATCTGCTCTGTGCTCAGAAGTATGCATCTCACGGCCGTGCCCAGGAGTTTTTTCTTTCGATGGTAATGACAAAGCGTACTATGTAAACATTGTGGGGTCTCAAAATGGCGAGCGCGCGCCACGCCACGTTCTTGAAGTGAACAAACACAGTAGACGCGGTCGGGGCCAACAAACACAACATACATACATTTATTTAACTAAATTATAATGACGATATCGTCCGCCGAATTGATACATCAGTAATGAACACGCGAGGGCATCCTTACACAATAACACACTGAAGGCGGCGTCCCTAACGCTTGACTTATCACGTGCCTCCCCCCCCCTCCCCCCCCGGCGCGCAGGCCCGCGGTGCCACACACGCTAAGGACCCACGCTGGAGACAACCGTTCCCGGCAGCCGCCACGCGCAGAAGAGGCTCGCTCATCTATCGCCCGCCACCAAGGCCTGCCTTTTGCCAGGGGTCACCGCCGGCATTACCACTCTACCAACAGTGGTACTCAACGCGAACACAACGCCATCTATCGTCCGGCGATTGTCACCCCCGAAAAACAGCTTCTGTGCGAGACACGTGCGCCACGCGGCGCAAACAGCTTTACAGGGGGTGTCAGCACCCTCACATTTTTTTAACCTTAAATTAAACCATATCCCGAAAACAAAGATCAGCTACACAAGCTTTAACAAAAAAAATGACATCGCTTGTCCATAATGTCCTTGCACCACGACACCGCCGCTGGTCGACACTGCTGCACTGTCCGGCTAGACTTCACCTCAGTACCGGCCCCGCAACACCAACATTGCCGTCGGCGCGACGAACCGTCGCTAGCGCCGGCACGTTTTTCAGTTGCGACAAGCATTCACGAGGGCGCCGGACTGCAGGCAGTTGCGCAGGTCCCAGGCATCTCCATCGCTCGACCTCACGACCGCATTTCTGACCAGCAACGCTGACGATGTGCAGAAGACAGCCAGCTGTGGATGACATCCCTCCCGCTGAATACACCAACACCAACAAAAAAAAAAACCTCAAAAGAAACAATGGAGCAGGGCCTAGCGAAGGGAGCTTCGGGCTTTTCGGCCACGTGGTACGATGGTCAGTACTGCTAGCTAATACATCGGCGGTGGCCGAGACGCCCATCAAAAATAAAAAAGGTCACCTTTCCTAATTCGTGCATCGCAAGATAAAAAAAAAGTGAGGGACGCAGAGCGCAACACCTCAACGCCACAGTCAACCTAGTTGTGCCACGTGCGACAGGCAGCTGCGCAGAGCCTTAGGCCTAATGAGTCGCTCGACAACAACCGGCATCCACCCAGCACCCAGCCTAGGCGCAGAAGAGGCAGCCACGAGGAGACATCCACTCTGTGAGGTGGCCCTATTGCTCGCCGCACACAGCAGCCTACCGAGCAATCGGCGTCCACCGCACCGGGCGGTGTCACGACGCCACGGCGTCGAGCCGCAATGCCAGACAGCAACGACGCCCGGCTCCCTGAGCCCAAAGAGATAGAAGAAGCTATTTACAGAAAATCGAACCACCCACGAGGCTTCCGTACTCACTCGCCTCGGGCCTGGCCTACAAACAACGTGCTCTAAGCCTTGCTTAGCCCAGGATGCAGACCGCATGGCTCTCGTCCCAATTCAACAACGGTTATGAAAACTAACACACAAAAAAAAGAACAACACTTGCGAGCAAAAAAAATAAAAAGTAAACCTGCCGACAAATTCAAACACATCACAAATACTGATCTCCTCGCTCTCAACAAAGCACACCACCGACGCTAGCAAAGAAGTCCTCCCTAGGCTTACTCTACTATGGCTCTAACAAAAGCCTGGACCGAACCGCACAAACTGTCGTCTGGTATTCCAAGAGCCCCACATTGGGCGCCAATGTGGGGTCTCAAAATGGCGAGCGCGCACCATGCTACGCTCTTGGATCGAATGGACACAGTAGACGCGGTCGGGGCAAACAAACACAACATAGATACATATTACTAATTTATAACGACGATATCGTCCACCAAACTGATACATCGGTAATGAACACGCGAGGGCATCCTTACACAATAACACGACGAACACACAACACGACAAACACAATAACACACTGAAGGCGGCGTCCCTAACGCTTGACTTATCACGTGCCTCCCCCCCCCCCCCCCCCCCGGCGCGCAGGCCCGCGGTGCCACACACGCTAAGGACCCACGCTGGAGACAACCGTTCCCGGCAGCCGCCACGCGCAGAAGAGGCTCGCTCATCTATCGCCCGCCACCAAGGCCTGCCTTTTGCCAGGGGTCACCGCCGGCATTACCACTCTACCAACAGTGGTACTCAACGCGAACACAACGCCATCTATCGTCCGGTGATTGTCACCCCCGAAAAACGGCTTCTGTGCGAGACACGTGCGCCACGCGGCGCTAACAGCTTTACGGGGGTCTCAGCACCCCCACAACATGCACCATGAAAGATACACAATCATAAAAATTTGTGAAAGCGTCAAACCTTATCCATCTAACTCACTGGTTCACAATAAATGATATTGCTGATCTATGCTTCAAATATTTTTGCTTTGTTGATAGACTACAGATGCTAAGACAACAGTATTTTCTATACCAAGTCTCGGTTTCGCAAACTCCTGTGTCTACCGAAACTATCCCTGAATTTCTGTAAACACTTGGCTGACTGTGTCCGAGACTTTTACATTAATTTTGTGGGAATTGAGGCTAGCCCCTTGCCAATGCGCAGGCTTTGCCACCTATTTTTGCCGTTCTCATGCCCCAACATGATTCTCCCCTCCACCGCGTCCGTCGCGCTGGGAGAGCAGGAGTGACGTTCCGCGCGCACTCACCGGGAGTGAATCAGAATCTCTTCGGGACAATGTAAGGTGAGCATGCATTTCTTTCCCGTCCGTCAGCTCTTTTTATTTGGTACTCCCTTGGGCTTCCCCAACGACGACATGCGTTCACCACGAACGCTTACTTTTCGTCGCCCCTTCCAAACGCTAAGCCATAGAGCGGTGTGGTGTCTTCGTGCGTCGTCGTACTATGCCAAACTGTATCTATCGAAGCCAACGCGAGCGAAGTTTGCCTTCGCTTAAGCGACCGGGCATTGTTATCCCTGTGTCACCGTAAATCTCTTTTGCCCACGAAGACGTGCTCGCGGTACCCTGTGTAGTACTTCTCGCCCATGGCGTGGATAAGCCTATTTGCTTTCCCACCGCCTCTGTTTCAATGAGCTCTGTACTGCGTTTTTGGTTAATACAGGCAATAAAGTGTTGCGACCTGTTGAGAGCCGTACCATGTGTCTTGCCACGCTTGGCTCGGTGCCATGGCTGTCCAAACGCGCGTGTGCAGAGTCAACCGCTAACGTGTGCCCTGCGGCTCACTAAGACCGAACTCACACTCATAGCCGTACTTCTTCGGGATATGTGTACACTACAATTTCTAACGTAGCCCAGTTCGTTTTCTCATAATGCGTTAATGTGCTTGAATTGCTTTGAATTGAACACGATTACATTTCTATCAAACTTCGTTGCCTTGAATAACGCAACTAGAAGTGAGCCGACCAGCTTTTAAATCTTTGATTACTAGTGCCCCCCTCCCCCCCCCCATATTCTCTCAATACTTTTTACTGGTCATGAAACTTCTCTGTCCCTCTGGGGAAAAGCTTTGTGCGCCACCAAACTTCACCTTGGCAGGTAGCCACCAGTGCTAAGAAGGTGCTCGTCAAGGCCAGAGAGGTGACGACATGGTGTATGTGCTCTGTTGGCACCATGTTTTGTTGTGAGCGTGTAGTTCTGTCTGTACCTGTTACCATTTTCAAACGCGACGAACAGTTAGCGGCAGCTTCACAAACAATGCTCAAAACATGCTGTGTGCCGCACTGTCACTGTCGCTTCGGCTGAGGAGGCGCTCGTCGAGGACAGCAAGATGACGGCATGGTGTGTTGCCTGTGTTGGCATCATGTTTTACCCCGACTGTTGGGTGCTGTGTGCCAGTTACCATTTTCGAAAGTCCCAAATGATAAGCTGCAGATTGGCAAATGACAATATTAAAGACATATTGGGTGCTGCACTGTCACTCCAGCTAAGGAGGCGCTCGTTGAGGCTAAAGAGGATATGGCGTGGTGTGTAGGGCTTTGTTCAGTTGATGTCATGCTTCATCACCAGTGAACGGAGCTGTGTGTGCTTGTTTTTTTAACATGACGAATAGTTAGCGGCAGTTTCACCAACGATGCCGAAGACATGCTCTGTACTGCAAAGTTGCTCTGGCTTCAAAAGAACCGTCAAAAAAGTGTCATTTGTGTTTCTCAGTGACCTCAAAGGATGAGAGAAGTGGATACTGCATCAAAAAACAGGTACATTCTAGTTTCGCTCATCGAACGTTCGCGCATGTGAAACATATTTCGATAAAGAGGATTGTGAAGACAAGTACGTTATACAAGGCACCACTGTTAGATTGCCGCATGAAAAAGCAAAGCTAAGGACAGATGCAATTTCTTGATGAACTCTCGAAATGCTTGTCATAGGAGTCAGAACCTTGGTGCTTGCCACACAGGTACAAGCCATTCCTTAAATGTTCCTCGCCCCCGAACCCTTATTCTCACCTT